CCGTGTGCATGCGTGCATTGGGTGGAAAAATGGTATGAATTTGATTTTGCTGGGTTCACTACCACCACGAACTCGACCGGTGTGTCTACTCCCCCTGGAGGGTCCTAGTAAGAGTACTAACGATGTGAGGTGCCTCATCAGTGTTGAGGAGGAGGAGGGAGAGAGCAGTAGCAATACTGCAGGGGCGGTGGGCGTCGGTGCCAGCAGAGGAAGGGTGTTGGTACTGGACAAAAACGGTCGGCAGGAGGAAATACTCACGGGGGCGTTGACGATACCAGAAAGTGGTAGCGGAGCGAAGCAGGAATTTAATGACGATTTTAGGAGACCACTGGGAGTAGTCATTTCTATGGCAAAGAGTTTCTCGGGACATATGGTAATTTTGTGGCGCGTGACGTTTTTCAGCCCATATCCTTGCAGGTTGCCCTGCTATCGGATTGCGGCCGATTCCGCATATTGCCCACATCTCCCGATCTGAATCCTGAGTATCATCAACCGCCCGTCCCCCCTCCATCTGCGGAGGCTATCCCCATCGTCCCGGCTGCTGGGAGTGGGTCTCTGGTGGTCACTCCCGCCGACGTGGCAACAGCACAGCGTCGAGTTCCTCCTACTACTACTAGCGTCACTGCGCCACAAAATTCTGACCCGTTTTGTCCGCCGGTACCCAGCAGTGTGGCGGATGCGGCCTCGCCGATGTCGACGTGTACGAGAGTGAGTCTACAGTGGTGCGGTGACGATGCGGTGGCTGTTTATGTGACCGATAGCCGCAGGGGCAGTCATAGTCTCTACTTGGGAGGAACTGCGCCAGCCTTTACTACTGATCCGGCCGAGTACTGGGTAGACCCACCGTTTAACTTTGATAATGGGATTTATATTCTCACAGAAGCTGACGCACTGCGTATATTGGATTTGAATCAGTCGCTGTTGATTCAGCGGGTGAGCCCAGCGACCGAGGCAGTGTTTGGGTTTGGCGGCACGAAGTCGTCACCACCAGCAACACTAGCGTATGCGTATGAGCGCTACGCTAAGAGGGGAGATGTCCGCTCTGAATTGTCGGTACGTTCACTGAGGGGCGGTAGCAATTCTAGTGCGGAACTACAGCGTGCTGTGATGGGGTGTATCGAGGCGGCGACGGCAGAGACCCCGGCGATTACGCGAGAGGCTCAACAGCGTGTTGAGGGGTTGATGAAGGCGGCTCAGTTTGGGAGGAGGTTCCTGCAGGCTACTCCGACGGCGGGGGGAATGCCGGCGATCTCGAAAGCTGTTGTTATTGCGGCTGCGTACATACGTGTCACCACGGCACTGGCACAGGCTCCTGTGTATATGCCGGCTACGGTGACACAGGCGAAATTGCTGTCACCATCGGGAGTGGTAGCGAGAGTTGCAGCTAGACCTGGACAGCAGCTGCTGGCGTTTAGGTGAGCGAGGCCTTGTGGCGGTTGAGTTCGGGAGTTCCCAGAGCTACATTATGGAAAATTTTCGGACGATTTGGGGTAGAAGTGTAAAAAAAAACCAACGAGAATTTTTTCCGAAAATTTTACGGGTACACATCCCTATGGTAGTTCCTGGCACCATCCTGGAAATGTTCATTGCTCTCAGAATCGCCGAGTGGCTCGGTTGCGATCCATCGTCAGCAGTCGAAAATTGGGTAGATGCTCTCCTGGCCTCGCCTGATAGTGCGAGGATGACCGATAGGGAAATACTCAGCGCTATTATGGACAAGATGAAGTAGGGGTCTAAACCGGACCTATTTCGTATCTTACCATCTTCGACCTTAGATTCCTCCCTCAACAGTGTCTTGCAGCCTCAGTTGGTGCGTCCTCAACAGATCCCTTGAGGTCGTCATCGACCACCCTAGCCGCCATGGCGCGTATATGTGTCCGCTACAATAGGCAGGCAGTAGCATCTCAACTCCTCCTCTCACTGGATGGTCGCAGTCAACAGCAACCCGAAAGGGGCAGCTGAGGCGACTACTGGCGGAGTCACCGCCGGTGGCGAGCATGTTGTGGGGCTCCTCTTGTCTCTTGGGAGTGTGTCCATGGCCCTGCGTAAAGCTGTGGATGCGGGGAGCCCAGATTCTATTCAAAGGTGCATCAGTGCTGTCATCGATAGTGCGGCTGATGTGGAGATGCGCAATGATCTTATACGTGTATGCAAAGAAGCCGACCTGACTCAGCTGGAGGTCTGGTGGCTCTCTCGTGTGATCGTTGGCGACAGATGGAGGTGGGAGTAGAATCATTGGTGAGGACGTTGGCGTTAAGATGGTCCTGAGGGCTCTTCATGGGGCCTCTGCGGTGGCGCAGCATTCAGCCATGGTGGCTCTGCGAACGGCGATTACCGCGCCAGTGGCGCAAGTGGGAAAGGAAGAGACGAGTAGCAGTGGTGACCGGTGGTGGTCTCGACTGGGGAGGTCTGATTCTGCTGAGTCCAGAGTGCTCACACGAAGCGATGCTGCGGACATGTTCCGGAACGCTGGTGGGGAGTTTTCGGGAGTTTACGGTACGACCAGAGAGCCTAGTGCTCAGATGTCCGCGGTGGTGTTGCAGGAGGAAAGCGACTTGTGTCGGTCGCAAGCTCAGCTGGAGAGGCTATCAGCAATGCGGGGATGGACCCGTGGCGGTGAAAATAAGTTTGTGGGGACCTCACTGTGGCAGACGGTGAGGCGGTTGGTGGTGATAGGAGAGCTTGAGGAAGCTCGGAAGCTGCTGACAAAGTTGAAGGTCTTGCCGGAGTATGAGCGGCGGTGGTGGAAAGTGGCGGTCGATGCTTTGGTCGAGGCTGGACGCTTCTCGGAGTTGGCTCAGATGGCGGGGAGCTCCGCCTCGGGAGGGCCTCCGATAGGGTAGGCGGGGATTTGATATGGAGGTGCGGTATTTTGTTAATCGATGGGCGCAGGTTCGAACCCATCGTGGCGCTTCTTTTGGAAAACCAACAGTTTGATCTCGCCAAGGGTTTGATAGGGAGGTGTAAAGACATGGAACAAGTCGCCAGCTTTTACGAGACGCTCGGCATGCGGGAGGAGGTGAGAGAATCCTTAGCGGAGCGAAGTTTATTGATGATGACTTTTCCTCAGGCGATGAAGGCTCAGCAGTTGGCAGAGCAGCAGCGTCGATCCATCGGTGGGAGTGGATCCATTCTAACTGGGTGGTCCTCTACCATCGCCGGTGCAGTGATGAGAGGAGGCTTCACTCGATCCTGAAATGCACGTTACCATTGCCGTTAGAATCATCTTATGTTGAGTTGTTGGAGGAGAGTCTGTGAATGATCAACCACTCATCATGAGTCGTCTCTTGAGACTACGTGAGCCTACATGCGTGACGGAGTAGTTGTTGCTGCTGCTGATACCCCGTTGCGAGTTTGCGTGCAGTGTACTACACTGAGCGTAGTCGTTACACTGCTTATTGACACACAACTGTGTAAGCTTGAGGCATGTCGAGGCATTAGCATGATGGGATGCTAATATATTGGTAATCACTCACTTTGACGATATACGTGTTGCGTAGTGGTCTAGATTCGTCAAATCCACTCTTAATGGGCTTTCAGAGACCCCCTAGGAGTCTTGAGATTTTTTACCTCGGAACTTGCAAGTCGCGAATTCGGTTTAAGATGTAACCCAGGTTCGAATTCCACGGATATCATTTTGAGCGTGTTTTACTTCTCGGCGTACAGTTCTTAATCCTCTACTGCGCATCTTGAGGAGTTGTTCATGTATGACAATCCTATAAGATTATCGTCGTTGTGGTTGACTCGCCAAAGCCAATCGTTGCCTTTGAGTAACTGCCTTCTACTAAGCTCTCTGGTTGCACATGCATGGCGGCGCTATTACAGAACCCCATCACTTTCAACGCTGATTGACGTCGCTGTTGGAAGTTTCCTGTTCAGTGGTGCTGTTCCATTCCTGCTATGAGCTCTCCCACTGGTGATGTTGACGATGATCGGCTACTGGAATCCAGTAACTGGATGATGTATCCTCCCTATGCTGTGATAGTGTGGGGAAACGGAAGGATACGGTAGTTGGACGGGGAAGGCATCAGGTTAATCAGTATCCCTGCGGATACTATCCCGTGGCCATGAGTTCTCTCCTCTTCGAATTACTTTCAGTCTTGCATCGTTGAGGAATTAATGTGGTCGGGGTTCGATCGCCGAGTACTGTCGAAAACCGAAAGTTTGAATGTTATACTTCTAGAAGGTCTTTCTACGTTCCCCTTGATAACTTTGAAACACAAAACATCGAAATTGAGGATATATTAACAACGTCATGCAAATAGTAAATAAAATATTACAAAGTCGTCTGAATTATAATAATCGTCAGCACCATCAGGCCTGGGCCTGTGGTGCTGCTTGAGGACGTCCTGAAAAAAAGTGCGTTGTTGATAGTCTCTCGAACCACAATCTTACCCTTTGGTCCCTCCTCGGAGTGGGCCACCAAGGGCGTTGGTGGTGGTAGTGGTTGTAGTGGTGGTGGTGGAGGAGGAGGAGTTGTTTGGGTAGAGGATTGGATCCTTCCCCAGCGCATCCTCCTCTGCCAGGTTTAGATCAATCACCTTCTCCATTACGGACCACCAGGACGTAGAGGCCTGGGTCTCGGCATCGACAGTAGTAGTGGTGGTGGTGGAGGAGGAGGTGTTGGGGTAGAGGATTGGATCCTTCCCCAGCGCATCCTCCTCTGCCAGGTTTAGATCAATCACCTTCTCCATTACGGACCACCAGGACGTAGAGGCCTGGGCCTCGGCATTTAGAGTAGCAGGCGTGGTGGGGGTAGGGGTAGGGAGGGTATCCCCTCCAAGAGGGGCCACCATGGTAACAATATAAACCGGTAGGATTGAAGTAATCGCCATTAAGATAATGGGAAAGCTCTAAGAACGAAGACAAGGTTCATGAAGACTAGTCGATACTAATTGAACTATACGATACTGGTCGAGCATTGCAGAATCAATTCTGTATAAGAAGATCATAGAAGAGTGGTTCCGGTCGTACGACCGGCAGCGGTCGCGGGGATCTCGAGCGCGCGCCTACTTTCGAGCGGGAATATTTCCGAGGAAGGTTATCATTAGCCTCACTAGTGGAACCCCGTCGCTACGCTCCGGGAGTCGCTACGCTCCAAGGACAGATAGCAATGTATGAGACTGGATAAAGTACTAATATACTTGGTAATAATATAGCGCAGACTTTGAACGATGACAGAAGTAAGATGTACGATGTTCCGATAACTGAACGCAATAGAGACAGGCATGACGCTCCAACGTTTCGCCACAACGTGAACAACCTTGGCATGCTGTTGTGCAGTTCTAAGGCATCAGTCGACATTATGAGCTCGTTTTCTTTTCTTGAACCGCATAGATATACGATGAGGATATTTTGGTCGAAGTTGGACCTGAAAAGAAATAGGTCCAGTTAACGTTATGAGTTCCGAGCATAGAATGAATAGAAATTGTATGCTTGCAGGGAAAAACACATTGGGCGGATTAGGTATCGACAATCAGATAGAAATAGTTGAGGGAAGCATAACGATATGTTGGAAGAAATGTGAACGCGCAGGAAAACGTATATCGCGAGAAAAACGTTTTTGGAATTATCTCTCCCATATGGTCTAGCGCCTCAATGTGGCGTGGGAGTGATACTCATGCGGAGTATGCGAAGCTAGACCGCTTATACCGAGCTCGACAATCACCCAATGGGTGGTGACTGAGTGGCGGTGATTCACCCCCATGGAATCCATGGCATGGATTCACCGTGGTATCCTACAACATCCAAGGCTCATTTGGCCTCAAGTTGGAGTTGGCTCGTTACCGGTCTCTTGCCCAACCACATGTAGTCTGCCTTCAGGAGACATTCCACACCGAATCCACCCACCTACACTTCCCTGGCTATCACGTCGACGATCTGCTTTCGGCATCGGTTCCGGAGACATCTCAGCGATCTTCCCGTGGTCGTCGCAGCGGTGGTCTGGTCTCACAAATCCGCGACGATCTTAGCTATCACCATTTGTATACCATTAGTTATACTGACTCACACTATTTATTCTGTATACTTGTCACAGTTGTCCTTGATAATACCCAACATTACCGTTGCCATTTTTTGTCTGCTTCTTTCGGCCCTCTGTTAGAATTCCAGAGGACTCTCTCCCGCATATTCCCACACCGCAGTATTATTCTGGGAGACTTCAAACTATGCAACAATTCTGCTTACTCGGTACGGCATTTTCTTCTCTATGACTCGGGTTCGAATAGGTTCCGACCATCCTTCATCTCTAAACTGTAGAGATAAAGGATGTACTGCTGTAGACACACAGCTCTGCGGCGGTCAACTATGTACCGCTGTAGAGTCTACAGCGGTACAACCCGAACTCGGAGACAACTGCTCCACGTTTCACTCCCTCTTGCCCAAGCTAGCCACCTCCACCTGTGATCTCCCAGGGAGATTCTCCTTCTGTGGGTACCGCCTACTCTTGCTGTGTGGGATTGGGAGACTCCCGTCCGCTGGTCCCGTTAGTTCTTATCGACCTCTACTCTTTTATTTCTGTCATGACATGGGAATTCACTGCCGCTCTTTACCACCTTAGCGTGCATTAGTCGTTGTAAGGGCGATACGCCAACAGGCGTGTAACGCCCCGGTAATAGGCGTACCTGGGTTTGAGAGGAATTGAGCGGGAGTACTCGAGATTGGACGACGGTTGTAATAAAAGAATGAAAATTGCATGAGACATTCCAGATCGAAAAGCATAAAATTTTAAGCATAATCGCAGTGTAGTTGGGAATGAAGGAGTAGAAACTACAAAGAAAGGAAGAGGTTATGAAGAGGAGCCGAATGATAGGTACATTACCGTATCAGACTGTGATGTAGTAGAAATAGGAGCGTTTGGAAGTTGGCCGTTTGAACGTTTTAACGCACTTTTTCGGGCGGTTGCATGTACAGGAAATGCAAGTACATGCAGTGCAGGAAATATACACGACAGGTTCCACGACAGATTCCACGTTGTGGAATGAGTAGAGATGGTTGCTTGCAGGGAAAAAGCAGGTTGGGCTCATTAGGTATCGAGAATGAGATAGAAATAGTCGAGAGGAGCATATCGACATGTTGGAAGGAATGTGAACGCGCAGGATATCGCGAGAAAAACGTTTTTGATATTACCTGGATTTGAGAGGAATTGAGCGGGAGTGCTCGAGAATGCACGACCTTTGCATGACACATTCCATATCCAAAATCATAAAATTTTAAGCATAATCGCAGTGTAGTTGGGAATGAAGGAGTAGAAAGTATACAGAAAGACAGAGATTATGAAGAGGAGCAGAATGATAGGTACATTGCCGTATCAGACTGTGATGTAGTAAGAACAGGAGCGCTTGGAAGTTGGCCGTTTGAACGTTTTAACGCACTTCTTCGAGCAACGATTATGTTTGCTCTGCTATTTAGTTATAGATAAGCAGCTTTTCTTATTGCCGGTGGGAGAATGGGTTGTGTGCAGAGTTTATTATTACATCGACTATTACAATGCAAAGTGGAGAAGTTGAAGTCGTAGTGAACAACACGGCTACTACTGAACCTTTGAAGCGGTCGTCTTTGACCGTGATGATGATACTGCCAAATACGAGAGTATCAAAGCGGCAGTTGCGGGTGTTCTCTCGAAAAAATACCTGAAGGGAATAATGTGTTGATAGCTGGGAGGGACGGTTGATAGTAGACCGTTCCTTCCTTCGCTTCGCATATGAACGCACTGATGTACCTGAGTTTGGATAGTCTCTTAAAGTAATAGGAATCGGAAGTTAGTGTGGTTGCAGCTCGAAAGTTATTACTGTGGAGGAGATCGCTGATGCGATAACAGCGTTGGGGTCAGGGGCGGCTCTAGGCCTATGGCCACAGGGGGGCGGGAGAGGGGCGAGAGAATTCTCGTGGGGGTCCGGTTTGAAAACACAACTTGAATCACTTTAGAGGAAAAAATTGTCTGCCTGAATGCTCGCAGACTACTACTCTGAAAGTACTACTTCAAAAGCATTCTCCTGTTGGACTCTGCGAAAAGATCAATAACATCATCGAGATTCAAGCTTTCAAGCCTCTCACGAGCGATATTGAGGACCCCAAGGTTTGAAAGCCTAGCATCCCCGGTAGAGTTGCGCAAATAATCCATGATCCTTCGCATAGTAGAAAAACTCCTCTCGCTTGAGGCTGATGAAATCGGGAGCGAAAGTGCAATACGCAAAAGCCCCACCATGTTGGGCAAAACTCTCTCCTGCGGGAGAAGGAAAGAGTAGAAGCTACGAAGGTCTTCTGGTAAATCTTCGCCGCCCCGTTGTAGAACATCTCGCAAGAGTGCAACTTCAAGCTTCAGTGCTCTCGAAGAGACAGATTCATCAGGGTAGTAATGACAGAAGATACCGATCAAGTCCTCCTCGTTCAAGAAACGCGGGCTGCCTGGGATCATGGCAAGCACGCCTTTATACACAGCTTCATTCTCGGGAGCTTTGAACCGTCTGAATAGCTCCCATCTGACACTTTTGCACAGTGGTATGAACATATTCCTACGAAAGTCTTCGCGGCTCACCCCGGCCTGATGGAAATCGGGCCGTGCTCTCCGCCTAACCCTTGGGGGCCCCAAGTTGGGGCAAGGACGGGAAGACCAAGGTCAAGAATAAGCCGATTTGCCTCATCCCACAAAAGATTCCAAACTTCATCATCTTCCGTCGGCGAAGGCCTGTGCAGACGTGTGAGTGCAGCGTCTATATCGGCCAACCCTTGCGCTAGAGTGTGTTCCTTATCCTGCAAGGATTCTGCAACGTCGGCTGTAACATTCAAAACCCAGCGCATAGTCACCAAGTTAACCATGAACTCTGCGTTAAGGCGTAGTCGAAGTCCCTGAGCAGTACCACCTCTATCTCCGCCCTCCTCCTCGAAGACTTCGAGGGTCTCGAATATAGCGGGCATGGTTTCTACCATGGTATCCAAGGCACGGAACTGGCAAACCCAGCGCGTCTCGGAAAGGGACGGGACCATCCTGGGTTGCTTTGCAGGGTTGGAGCCCTTCTGAGACTTCTTGAAAACCGGGTTCACGATGGAGCTGGCTAGGAAACGATGAAGGTCTTGGCACACCTGGAAGAGTCCGGAGAACCTCTCAGCTCTACATACCTCAACAACCACAAGATTCACCCTATGGGCAAAACAGTGGATATAGATAGCAGACCGAGCCTCATTGGCTCGCTCTCTGACGCGCTGGGCGACTCCGCTCACAGCGCCGCTTATGACGCTCGCTCCGTCGTAACATTGGCTAACCATGAGAGAAGGATGTATACCGACTTCGCCAAGAGTGCGGAAAATCTCCTCTGTAAGGTTGGCGGCATCCAGTTTTTCGCACCGAACAGAGGCGAGGAACTCCTCTTTGATCTGCGCGTCATACACATACCGGACGCAGAGGGACAGCCGCTCCGTATGAGCGATATCGCGAGCCTCGTCGCATATGAGGCTGAAAGCACCGCAAGCAGCCACCTCGGATGCTACAGACTGACGAACGAGCTTCGCTGCACAGGCGATGAGGTCATTCTGTATAGAGTGATGAGTATATCTAGCATTCCCAGGACCATCGGAGAGTCTCTGCTTGACAACGTCATCAAAACGACTCAGCAAGCGAGTCAGTTCCAGAAAATTTCCCGGATTGTCGCCGTCGGCCACGTTTGACAGAGTTTCTCCATGCACTCTTAAGGCCAACCCTTGCTTACAACAAAAAAGAATACAAATGAGGATCGATCGCAAGTAATGGCGATTTTGTTTGATCACATCTTGGTTTTGGGTATTGATCAAAGTGGCAACTGATTGACCTTTTTCCTTCATTAGCTGCCACTGTAGGAAAGCCTTGGCTGAAGTCTGATGATAGTCACTCGCAGAGTGTTCGTCGAACCTCTGAATTGCTTTTTTCCAGTTCGAGAAACCGTTTGGGTCGCTGAAGAATGGAGAGCCCTTACCAACTTTGGGCGCACCGAAGTGTCTGCAGTAGAAGCAAAAAGTACTGTCTTTCAGGGTAGAATACTCCAGCCAATCGTATTTATCCTGCCACGCCGCCAGGAATGACCGACCACCAGTGTTGGAAGGAAAATTCTTCCCTTTCACCTTGAGCCGACCGTCTTCTTTACCGGTTGATATATCGCTCGGGTATGCCGACTCAGGCCGTATTCTTTTGAGGAATGGTTCCATATGGAAGGTAAATAAGACCCTGTGATCAGACTATGGTCATGGTTGTCCATTACCGTCTTATAGCAATGCTATGGCGGGGGGGGCTGAGTTTGCAACCGCGTGACGCGTGCGCACGCGTACGGAGGCGACTGGCGCGCGAGAAACTCATGAATCAAGGCAATGTTCAACATGCGGGTGAAGCCGCACCAACTCCACACCATACTGCTGGTAGCGGCCGCCCCCCGCCGCCCCCCCTAAGGCCGCCCCTGGTTGGGGTCGGCGAAGGGGCATTGGATGCGAGTAAGACGCGGATTAAACCCCTCATACCAGAATTACAACGGAGAACAACACTCATTGTGACGTAATATGTGGAGAAATGGTGAAGTGGTGTGTAAGTTGGTTATTGACGAGAAGGTCGGAAGTTCTAATCCTGGTGAGGACGTTATCCATTTTAGATATGTCGACTCGAAATCATTATCGATAGAACAGTTCAGAATGAGGTGTTGAAAGCTGCCTCATGTGGTGAGAAGTTCTCACCACATAGAGTTCTTCACAATTTCCACTATAGAGTTCTCACTGAGAACTCTATAGTGGAAATTGAAGCGTCCTGATGTAACATCACTGAAGAAATTTGTGAAGTGGCGTCGTAATACTCTGTGAAAATAACGCGATATTATTCGCGGTGATATGCAGTAGTCGTGAAATATTTTCTGCACATGGTCAACTACATTTGTTGTTGATAATAGAAAATTCTGGGAGGAAACTTCGATAAATGATCATTGATTCGTGTACACTTCTACCCCGAAATCGTATATAAAACTCAATAGTGTAGCTAAAGCTCAATACCGACGATATCTAAATGATAATTAACCTATTTCAACCTATTGCCCAGTAGTATCTTCTGTGTGCGTTATTAATATCTTTTATTGTATCCTTCGCTCGCCATTGGATACTTGTAACCGTCACGAAGCATGCTGGACAATTCCAAGATCGATTTGAGATTATCCTCATCATCATTCCCTAATGGACTGGTATTGAGTTGGCCTACTTTAATACTGGTGAATCTAACAACTATAGCTTTGGAATCTCCTGAGCTCAGCTGAGGAAAGCAAACATATATTCCTACTCCAACACTGTATAGGAAACTCCTGAGCTCAGGTGCTGAGGAAAGCGATTACATATATTCCTACTCCAACACCGTATAGGAAACTCCTGAGCTCAGGTGCTGAGGAAAGCGATTACATATATTCCTACTCCAACACTGTATAGGAAACTCCTGAGCTCAGGTGCTGAGGAAAGCGATTACATATATTCCTACTCCAACACTGTATAGGAAACTCCTGAGCTCAGCTGCTGAGGAAATCGATTACATATATTCCTACTCCAACACCGTATAGGAAACTCCTGAGCTCAGGTGCTGAGGAAAGCGATTACATATATTCCTACTCCAACACTGTATAGGAAACTCCTGAGCTCAGGTGCTGAGGAAAGCGATTACATATATTCCTACTCCAACACTGTATAGGAAACTCCTGAGCTCAGCTGCTGAGGAAAGCGATTACATATATTCCTATTCCAACACCGTATAGGAAACTCCTGAGCTCAGTTGAGGAAATCGATTACATATATTCCTACTCCAACACCGTATAGGAAACTCCTGAGCTCAGGTGCTGAGGAAAGCGATTACATATATTCCTACTCCAACACTGTATAGGAAACTCCTGAGCTCAGGTGCTGAGGAAAGCGATTACATATATTCCTACTCCAACACTGTATAGGAAACTCCTGAGCTCAGCTGCTGAGGAAAGCGATTACATATATTCCTATTCCAACACCGTATAGGAAACTCCTGAGCTCAGTTGAGGAAATCGATTACATATATTCCTACTCCACCAACACTAGCATGGCAACCCCAACAAGCTCCTCCTCATCCTCCTCATCATCCCTGGCGCCTCACGTCATCGCCAAACGATTACTAGAGGAACGACGAGAAGAGCTTTTGAGTTCTGCGGGGGTACCACAGAAATATGATAGTATAATAAACATTCCGCGGAAAAACTCAATATCATGTGGACACTATTCTGGAGATGAATTTGAAGTGAATGATGATGATGATGATTATGAAGGAGTATCAGCGACGACGTATAGGGTGGACGAGAGATATAAATTGGTGGAGCATTTGGGACAAGGTGAGAAGAGGAGGAAGTGTTTTAACGGTGTTTTACGCGTAGTACACCATGTGAAAAACGCGATATGCAGCGAATAGTGAAACATGTTTTTCACTAGTGTTTTTCATATCACGGCTGGTGGAACTCCATTATTGTTGTTTACATATGTACAGAAACCACTGAAAATTTGATCCCAGAGTTTTCATATTTTTCCCTACACTGGAGTTTCCCGACTACCCGTTTTACGCGAAGGGGCGTAAAACTCGGTGAAAAAGGCGATTTTACCCTTCGCGGTGATATGCAGTAGTCGTGAAATACGTTTTTCACATCACCGGTGAAACTCCACTGTTAATTCTATTGTTGTGTGAATATTTTCCAGTTTTGAAAAATAGCTCTCCTCCCTAGAATTTGAAAACAGTGGGGGCGAGAAAATGTTCCTAATGTGATGACATTTACATGGGAAACTGATCGAAGAACATGAGAAATTAAAAATGAGTTCTTTCTAAAAAAAATCACCGGTGTTACGCGAAATGGCTTCAAACGCCATACGAAAAACGTGATAGTCGCGAATTGACAACTACTTCGCGACTTCCCGTATCACGTAAAACACATCACGTGTTTTACGCGTTAATCACCACTGCTT